CTGCCACCTCGCCCAGCTAGTTTTTTGTATTTTTAGTAGAGACGGGGTTTCACCATGTTAGCCAGGATGGTCTCGATCTCCTGACCTCGTGATCTGCCTATCTCGGCCTCCCAAAGTGCTGGGATTACAGGCTTGAGCCACCGCGCCCGGCCTAAATAATTTTTTTTTTTTATTGCTAATGTATGTAAATACAATTGATGTTTGCACGTTGACCTATTATCCTGAAAATTTGTTGAAATCTAGGTGATATGGTATTGTTTATATATATATACAGACACACATATATATTTTCTGCATCTTGTTCTTACCATGATCAAGTTGTGATATTGACATCTTTATTATTGCTTAATTATTTATTTCTTACTTCAATTATGTTCAGTTTTGCCTTATTTATTTTGGGAATTTGTTATTAGGTGCATATATATTTATAGTTGTTATATTTTTCTGATAACTATTTTTACTATGATAAAAAATTTTGTCTTAAAAACTATTTTGTCTGATATTATTATAGCCACTTGAGCATTCGTTTAGTTATTGCTTTCATGACTTATCTTTTCCATCCTTTATTTTAAACTCTGACAGAATTTGGCACATCTATTGTAGACACTATGAAAAATAAGGATCATCTTTTATTCATTCTGCCACTATTTGCCTTTGTATTGGAGCATTTATGTCAGTTACATTTCATGCAATTTCTGTAAAAGTAGGATTTATTTTGCCATTATGCTATTTGTTTTTGATGCATCTTATGTTATTTTCCTCTTTTTCTCCATTATGCCTTTGTTTTGTAATAAATGTATATTCCCTTATAATTACTTATTTTAAAATAATTTTTATTTTACTTTATGCAGTTTTAAAATAATTTATTAATGACAATTACAGTAAACCTTTTAAAATAATCTAGTTCAGTTTAATACTAAATAAGCTATATGGAATTAAAAACTTTGCTCCACTATAGGTCAATTTCTTTCTCCCTCTTTAAGTTATTATTGTGAAAATATATCATTACATATTAAAAGCCTGTCCAAAAGATTTACGATTATTGCTTTATGCAGTTTCTTTCAAATCAGATCAGACCAAAAAAGTTACAAGAAAAACATTTATACTAATTTTTATATTTACCTCTGTCGTTACCTTTATCAATGTAGTTACCTCTACCAATGCACTTTATTACTAATGTGTTTCAAGGTGCTCTTAATTTAATTGCTAAAATGTTTCTAGGTCCCATGAGTCCCTGAAGCTCTGCTTATTTTTCTTTATTCTTTTTTTATTCTGTTTCTCGGTCTGAATAATTTAAATTAATTTATTCTCAAGTTTGTGGGTTAGCTTCCTGTTTCATACCTGCTATTCAGCTCATCTAATAGATTTTTTAAATTTAGGTTGTTATTTTAATGCTGGATTTCTATTTTGTTCTTTGTAATAATTTATTCCTCTATCTTTGTATTCTTTATTAGGTGAGAAACCATTCTTATAATTTCTTTTACTTTTTATCCATGATTTGTTTCAGTTCTTTGAGAAACTTTGTAATACCTTGTGTAAAGTCTTTGTGTTGTGAGTCCAAAATCTAGGCTACCTCCCAGTGAGTTTCTATTGACTTTTTTTTTCTCTTTGTTTTGCCCATAATTTCCTATTTCATTGCATACTCTTTAGTATTTTAGTTGAAAATCAGATATTTTAAATAATATAATATTGCAAATGTGGAAATCAGATTCTTTTATCCCCAGTATTTTCTTGTTGTTTATTTGTTTAGTAACTTTCCTGAATTAGTTCTATACATCCGTATTCCATATCATTTGTATTCACTGAAGTCTGCTTAACTAGCTTAGTTTTCGGCCAACAATTGGACAGAGATTTTCTTAAATGTTTTGAAACAATAAATCTTCAACAATTGGACAGAGATTTTCTTAAATGTTTTGAAACAATAAATCTTCAATCCTTTGCTAACTATGTGTGTGGAGGGCGGGGAGAGAGAGAGAGGAGAGAATATGTGTGTTTTGTGGCATGCACTCAATATGTTAGCAATATACAATTTTGCCTTAAAGTTCACTTTCTTCTTGCATGGAGCCTCAGGTCTAGCTAGAACTAGAAGAGTGTGTCTCTGTCACATCTCTCTTGAGCATGTGCACATGTGCATGGCCTATCAGATTACAAGGAATATGTAGGATCTTTCCCACTCCCTTATGTACATTTTATTAATTTTCTTTTAATTTTTTGCCAGCCTTTTTGTTAACCAAACTTGAATCACCACCTCAGGTAGCTGCAACATTAAATGATTACCAGTGATTATTTTTGCCAAATTCCATGGATGTATGCCTTTTTGTATGAAACAGGCTTTGAGTCAAATCAAATGACAAGACCCATTAAAAGGGACTCTCTAGAGAGTTTCCAGACAAGTTAAATAGGGAAAATTTTATGGGGATGGGTATTTTTGAGATGTTCTTAACCTGGTCTCCACTTCTCAGTGGTTGCTAGGCTGCTGATTTTTACAGTTACTTTAGGTACATATATTTATTGGCAGTGTTGTCAATAATTTTATGGAGGAGAAGGTTTTGGAAAGTCTCCACCTTTCCTCTTCTTCTATATTAGATTTTCAGAAAATTTTACAGGTAATTTTTCATAAACAAATGCTTAATCAAACAATTTATCATCAATGTCCAAGATACATTCTTCATTTCTGCTTTGTCATCTTCAGTTTCTTTGTTTTTGTCCTTAGGTTGGCCCTCTATGTTCATAAAATGGCTGCAGAAAACCCAAGCATCACATTCTCACACAATAGAAACCAAGGGCAGACAGAAAAAGAAATACCTTTGTGTGTCTTTTTTTGAGTGGGGAAGCTTTTTCCAGAATTCCTCTCTCTCCATGCACACACTGGTGGCTTTTTCCTCACATCTAGTTGTCCAGATTGCACTGCTTACCCATTTGTAAACCAATCATTGGCTAGGAGAATGGGATTATTATGAGTTTCTCAGACTAATCAGATTTACCCTCTGCAGCTTGGGAAAAACCCTAAAGTTTTTCCTTTAACTTTTATTTTAAGTTAACTTTTATTTTAAGCCCACCACTACGCCTGGGTAATTTTTGTATTTTTAGTAGAGACGGGGTTTTATCATGGTAGTCAGGCTGGTCTCGAACTCCTGACCTCAGGAGATCCACCCACCTCGGCCTCCCAAAGTGCTGGGATATAGGCGTGAGCCACCGTGCCCAGGCAAAACAGACTATTTTTCTCTTGAGTCTTATGAATTATATTAGGCAGCTGAAGCAGAAATTATAAAACCGATGTTATTTTCAATGTATTTGGAGGAAATATTTAACTTGGAGAATGTTTTCTGTGCACTTGAGAAAGATGTGCAGTCTGATTTTTTTGAGTGAGTTTCTGTATATGTCTGCTAAATCTAATTGGTTTATGGTGAGTTTTCTATCTGTTATTGAAATTGGTGTATTGAAGTTCCTGGGCGGCGGAGCAAGATGGCTGAAGAGGAACAGCTCCAGTTTCCAGCTCCCAGAGCGAGCGACACAGAAGATAGGTGATTTCTGCACTTTCAACTGAGACTCCACCTCTGGGGACAGGTCACAGCTAAACAACAACAACAACTACAACAAAAAGCAGCAGAAACCTCTGCAGATGCAAACGACTCTGTCTGACAGCTTTGAAGAGAGCAGTGGATCTCCCAACACGGAGGTTGAGATC